ACGTACGTTTCTTTACATCTATGAATGTTTCAATTAACGGAATCGATTTTTCTTTATGAAAGTTTTTATTTTTTGTACTCATTTTTTTTTTAATTTAAATATACTTATAATTTTAAATATTTCTGCAATTAATTTTTCTCTAATTTCAATTCTTGAGTCAAAATTCTATTAAAATAAAGTTCTCTGGTAATACTTGTAAACTTTCAGCGGCGCAAAATATAATATTGCAAAAAGAAAACAGTTTAATACCAAATTACCAAAGATAATTTTGGTATGTATAACGACAAAAATTTAATTATATACCTCAACAGAAGCGGATCTCTTTCTCTCTTTTTCCAATGACTGTAGCTTTCATGAATATTCAACATGTTAGCTATTATCGGCGATAATGGTATAACCGGCTCTATGCTGCGGAAATTTCCTTGAAGCATCGGAAGAACAAGATCGAACGCTACAGTTATGTCTATTTACAGCAATAGCGTGAATTTGCGTGATTCAATTTCTGGCGGCGCGGCGGTGCGACTAGCACGCGCCAAGACGAGTGGCATAGCGTAGACGTAGCCGCGGAAGAGATCAATACCGCACCTCCTTGGCACGGTTACCGTGGATCTCCGCGTAGCACGTCCCAATCTTTTCTCAATCGAGAACGTCGACACCTTTCCGTTCTCTTCTGGCATGTAGGACCTGGTCCTCGTGATAAAAATACCGCGCTGTGAGACGAAAATAAATCGGCGTCAATATTTTCGATACTCATGTAAACACTTAGATCGCAAAAGATGCAGAATATACTGCAGTGATTTCAGAATCAAAGAATTTGAACCGAGATTTAGATAAGTTTATAATTTGTACAGCTTTATTAATATCGTAACTGTATCTTCGACCATTCTCCATTGTATTTAATTTCAACGCTGTTTTGTCGATAATATTTTCTTAAATGATTTCTACGTAATACAGAATTGCAATTTGTAAGCAATATTATGAAAGTTTATGTCGAGATGCATGCATAAAAAGTAGTAAAATTATAATTCTTCTAAAAGTCTTGTAATTGGAATATTTTTCATTTCTGATTCCTACTTATATACGTAATATAAAATTGCAATTTATAAGCAGTCATAAAAATTTATGTCGAGATGCTTGCGTAAAGTTTTGTAATTGGAATATTTTTCATTTCTGCTATCACTGTGTCGAAAGTAACTTCCAAATGCAAGCTTATTCTAATAAAATCGAAAAAAAAAACTCTAGAAAAAATGTCAAAATATATATAAATAATTAAAACTTATTTAATTAAATTTTTATACTCTTTGTACACAGAATTTTGAAAAATAAAAATTTCAAAATAGCATTCTCCGAAATCAGTTTAACTATTTCACAGTATCGGAAACGAGTACATTACAATTGCGTAATAACAGATAAATATCGACTTGTGCCTTGGCCTTAACCATAAATATATAAGAATTACTTGAAATTCTTGAGAATTACATCATTCGAATGCGTTACATTATCGGTATAAAAAGTCTTAGCCTGATAATTCAAGCAGAACAAGAATATAACCTAAACAATGCTAGAGCAATGTTTTCTTCAATCATTAAAATAATATCTCCAATTTAGACTAACGCTAACTTGCATATATATTTATATGCAGGTTAAAATTATAATTTGCAGTTTTATTAATTCGAGCGAAATAACGATTCGCCTAAACAATAATGGAGCAACATTTTCTTTAATTATTAAAGTAACATCTCCCCGACTAACGATAACTTGTATAATTTTCAGTTTTAATGAAAAGCTTGCTTTAGACATCTACGCTTCAGGAAGATAATAGCGGTATGACTCATAGTTAAGAAAATTCCGAAAAGACTTAAAAAAGACGCAAAAAATTGCGATTCTCTACACAACTTATAGTCATAATAATCTAACAATAAATACATTTCGCAATTAAGAGTACGTGGACACAGTGGCTCGGTTATTAGTTGTGTTATTGACAAGATAAGAAACACTGATGACATTAACGAACACAAAGATTCGTCATCATTGTTATTCACATGTGTTATTCACGTGGAATAATACTCCCGCGACGCAGGAATGCCGTTATCTGAGACAATTTCACAGTAAAGTGACGTCGACATAGATGCGTTTTGCCAATTAAATCGTTCCCGACATCAAGCGATTATAAGCATCGCTACAGCACAATCCGACAGATACACGAGTCGTTCGCGCTCGCTTTTACCTTCGTAAAATTCATCCAGATCAATCAGAAAATTCGACAGGCGCAAGGAACCAAGGAACGTTTCACTCTCCGAAGTGGTCACACCCCTGATCGACATTTTTCTCAGGTCGCCCCAAGTCACGCGATCCTCGTTGCAGCGTAAATCGCACTACCGAAGATTCCTTACTTCGACAGAAAATTTATTAACTCGTTCCTCCTGATAATAAAAGATTCTTGAGAGATACTAGAAGATGCGGCGAATGAATTTTTTTTGCGATATCGCAGAAACTCTCAAGAAATACTGTAATCGTTCGCAAGAGATATAACGATAGATATATCGAACTCGATACCGACGAAGTGACTTTTAATAGCGCGTCGTCGTCGCGTTTTTAGCTACGTCGAAGACGTCGCGTTGAATGTGCTAATCACCGTGCTTATCAACCGTGCCAGCACCACGTGCGAGGTCACAAAAGCGAACGAAAAACAATGAGGAATGCCGAAACAATTTCAAACGTGTAATATAAATTCGAACGCGACAAACATGATCGTGAACTCTGATCATATTTCCCGACTGGATTACGAACGCGAAAGCAATAAGAGCGTTAGTTTACCAATACCTGATGGCATCGATGAACAAACGGTAAGTATAAATATTTGTTTGGAAAATAATTGGACTAAAAGTTCGATTTTGAGATATAATAACAAAAATTTAATTTAATAAAAAAATTTGCAATTAAATGTTATCTTAACGCTATATATAATGTTATATGATTAAGGTAATTCGTTAAGAAATTATGAAATTAAATTTATTTCTCTCTAAATATAACTAATATTTTTTCCTTCTTTTTCATATATTATTTTAGCGACACTGAGAGAAATGTTCTGATTATACCAACAAGAAGTACAAATAAAACAAATTCTGATCATATGAATCAAAATTTTGATTACCACGATTAGAATTCTAGTTGTCTCAACTTGAATACTTAATAGATTCAATTATAAGTGTCTGATTTGTATCTTTTTGGATGAATCTATATCAAAATTTCAATTAATGCAACAAACTTTTTTTCCAATGTAATAATTAATTTTTTGAATCTTTTAAAGTTATTAAAGTCATTTATCTTGAATTGAGACACATTAGAAAAAAATAAAAACTTGAGTAAAAAGTTATTTATGACTCACCCAACCTAATGAATCGAATTAGATCGGAATTGGAAAATGTACAAGATTTTCACGGAGCGTATCTTCGTCAGCCAATTATCGACGAAATTCAACTCGTTGTGCAATTAGCTATTTTCGTGGAATTTTTCAAACTTCACGTACGTCACTTTCAGAATTCACCATTAACGTCGACCTTTGAATTTGCCGTGTGATTACCGCAAGGAGCTGTTTTCTCAGAAACTTGCAGAATTTCCACGTAATCACCACTTTATCTCGGGACTTACGATTGTGCATAACGCGACTCAACGAGGGACGTCGCGAAACTACCGTGACGACCGAATTGTAGTTTACTTCTAGGAAGCTAACTCTTGCCCTCTATTCACGTTCCGAAAGTCTCGCCTCGCACTGACGAGACGAAAACCGTCGGCACCATTGTGACGACGGCCAAAATACTATCGGCCGTCTGTAGAGGCAAGGTCTTAGGCTGCCTGCCAATTTCTGAAATTTTCACTCGCGTTCATCAGCAGGATTTTGTGTCAATGAAAATGCAGTTAAAACTCCGCGATACGACAATTCGAAAAAAAAAAAATTAAACCGCGATCCTCATTACTCGAATAATTCACTCGAATGGTTGCCAAAAGTTAAGCCAGTAATTGGAATTAAAATCTCAATTTGATAAATTGGGTAAATTTAATAATTTGCATGTTTGAAAAATTGATACAAATGATATTGCGATATGACGAGATGAATACAACATTGAAATGTCGGAAAATTATTTCAATTCATCTCGTATTTACCGATGAAAAATTTTTAGATATTTGTTCATATCTTAGTTACAAATTTTTTCCTTATTTTCTCGATTATCTATTATTATTTGTTTATTATTATCTATTATTATTTTATCTATTATTTTTCAAGCTAACATTTCCGTACCAAGCACCACGAGAATCAGCGAGTTCTGATGATTAAAAATCTCCGAGGCATTTGTCTTCCTTTCGCGGCTGCAGCGTATAATTCATATCGATCTCCATCCCTCTCGCGAACTTTAATTAACTTCGCCTTTCGTGCGGCCAAATAAAACGTTGTAGCTATGAGCGACTTCTGACTACTATAATGCATCGTCTAATTCCACGATATACATTTCGCGCTCATTTCATAGTATAATTGCAGAAGGTGATCGGCCATTTGAAGTCACGGAAAATACAGCGTCTAATTTTACCTTCGCCGAGAAAAAAATTGCAAATAATCTGATTTTATCCTTGTGACTTTAGGCTCATCACTATTCAAAAAGTTAAGAAATATAACTTATATTTTCGACGGATGAATACTTTCGAAAAGTAATTTCGTTCTTTATAATATGAGTAGGGGGTCAAAGGATAGTCTTGACGCAACGAACGAATGCTCGTCAAAGACTAATACTTTTTTAAATTAAGGTACACACACTTCAAAAAGCTGAAGAATAACTTTGACTCAATAAACGTCTGTCAAAGAATAACACCCTGACAACTTTAACTTTAAAATCTCATTATCTTGTGCCTGGTAGTTATAATTGCATGTTGTAACGGCTCGCTCTTCGCACGACTAATAGATTAGAACGAGTTACATCATAAAATAACAATCAATAATAACTCACGATCGCGATGGTGATCCACATTATGGCTCGGAGTTGTCGAGCTGTCGGCGTCGCCCTCGCCATCCAATTCGTAATAGAGCCTGTCTGTGTCACCATTCACCTCCTTCACGCCGTTCATGGCCATCACATCCTCCATAATTCTGCAAATGCGTTCGTCATCTTGAGTGCTCGCTTTATTTAATTACCCGCGGTGTTGACGTGGCTACATTATCAGCCATTGATTTCACGATAAGCTTTTGAAGCGCGCAGATTGCAAGGCTTTGTGTAAGATGTTCAAATATTTTCCAAGAATACAATTAGAAAATTTATATTAAAAATACATTTTATGTATCCCAAACGGTCCATTCGAATTTTTGTGTTAATTTAGCACAAGATGAATATATTAGGAAATTTAGTTACAAATGTTATATAAAAGAAATTAACACGAGAAATGTAACACTGACACAATTTGCTGAAAATATGTTTCTTTTTCCTTAATATTTTTATATTTTTCTCTAATATTCATGATTGTTACTAATTTTATTGTATTTATAATTAAATAAATAATATATAAATCACTAATTATAATAGTAATTAAAATGTTAAGAATACTACTGATTACCTTTGGTGATAAAGTTGTAATATTGAACTATAATCTGTCTCTCCTTTCTTATATTATCAAAACTTTCCAAAGTATCAAAAGATCTCTTCTTATCAAAGAGATCGCATAAGCATTCTTATCTCTGCGATAAGAAAAGCTAATTGTGAGAAAATAAAACTGCGATGTTAATCTTTATAACAATTCTGAATAAGAAAGAATTTAATTATTATTATTATTTAACTATCTGTGTGTGTGTGTGATTAATAAAATGTATGAGTGCTAAAATATATGAAAGATCATAATGTATGATTAATAAGAGAAAATTATGAAGAAAGGACTGAAAAACAAATCATTGACTGATTTAATGCAAATAAATATGCAAACGAAATTAACATGATATATACTACAATCTGATTCGCATATTGATGCTGTACTTCGATTAGTTTTATCGCACATCTCTGACACAACAAATTTGTTATTCTATCAAATTTAAACGTTCAGCTCGTTTTAACTAGCAATTAAGAGCTGCGCTCGTTTAAATAGGGATTAATCGCATCATTATCATAATTACTGTGGAATTTCGAATCGTTTAGGAAACAACGGTGTGCAATATTTTTCCGTTAAATTTAGCTTGCGATTTAATTATTAATGCCTACGTAAGTTGGAGCGTGTTGCAGTTTATTTATTAGTATACAACAACGATGCGATTAAATTTTTTTCTGCGCACGTATACATAATCGATCTTTCGATTAATTTATGATATGCGCGACAGTTACATATTCTATGTATTACATCATAATCCGAAAAAGTTTATATCTAAAGATAATTTTTTCTTTGATTATACAGTTTCTATGTTAAAATAGCTAAAATTATCAACAATTTTCAGTTAAATAGTAAAATAATTATTGACTTAACCTTGCTTAATTGGTTAAATTATTTTTTCTGCTTAAATGTTGCTCTGCATTTTTCAATATATGAATAATTATTTATTCATCTTTTTTATTATTAAGCATTCTAATTTGTAATATTCTAATTTACTGTTTAATATATGTAAAAAAATAAATAATAAAAATTAATAATCCAAAACAGTTAATAGTTAATACAATAAAATAATTAGCAACATAATTATTTTGTTATATTAATCTCCATCTGCAATCACACTTTTACTCCTTCCGTCTATCTCACATTTTTTTTACTGTATTCTAGGCTTTTAAAAAACGTAAAAAAATTCAGGAAAAAAATTTATTTTTCAACATCTCTCTTATTACATTACCAAACAGTTTTTTAACAAGAAACTTTAAGAGGGGAATCGGATTCTGTTCTGTTTTATTTCGGAGCTCACAAATTTCAGAGTGAAATTTCGCTGAAAAACTCAGATTGCAAATGAAGAGTTAAAATATATAGTTATTAATTCCATAACGTTGTTTTACGTGACAGGCCTTTTAAAATGTCAAAAAATTACGCGAGAAAATATTTACATACTACATCCCTCTCCATATACATGCAATAAAATATATTATATACCAGCGTAAAATGTCAAGAAATATATAGTTTAAATAGGCCAGTACGGCGATGATAAATGTGTACACGTCATTCTTCCTTCGCTCACATTACACATTCGGTCATTAGAGACTTTTACGGGGCAAGAGCACACGTGCAGCTCGTGCAGATCAATTGATATGCTAATGATTCGTCGTAAGAATTTTTATGCGTTTCATGCAGCAAACGCGAAATTATTATCGCTCAACATCTATGTCGTGCCATGGTGCAATTTATCGCATTTGGATTCCCTCTATATAGCCATATTAGCCACAGTGTTAAGGAATTAGATTTTTTAGGAAAGATACTTCTCTTAAAAAAGAAACAAGGTCTATCTCTCACTTACATTCACGCTCGTTTGGTCTTATCCTGTGGACGACGAGGAACGTCTTGCGCGCGGTGGAGATCGCCGCTGTCGGACGAACGGCTACAACGGACGCGACGAAAGAAGCGAGCCAATCACGAGGCAGCGTGGCACACGCGTTCGGCCAATCGCGGTGCGGTCGCACGCGCCTGACCAATCACAGCGCAGCCGTACGCGCCGTCCGCAGACCACTTCGATCCGCACAATCGACGGAGTGAAGTTGCTCGAGAGCGGCGCGATAGCGACACGAACGCGGCGACGTTCAGCGACGTTCGAGGCGCCGTTCGATTACGCGCGACCGGCACGACTACGACGCGAGACGATTCGAGCGGAAGCGGTTCGACTGCGGTCGACGCCTGGACGCCACGCGCGAGATACTCCTCTCGAATATGCACCCACGTGAATACTCCGATCGTCTCGAAAGGAGCCAGTGCACGCTCCAGCCTCCAGCTGCGCCACGTAAACACGCTTTGTGCCGTGTGCGTCGTCGTGACAGTGGAGTCTGACGCACGCTGCGATTCGCAGCGTGCGAGTCACTGCCTACGATCTTACGATATATCGAAGTGACGTACGTGCATATGGGATGGGGTAACTAATGCCTCAACACGTAATTAGATAATATGCTTATCGGAGCACGTATAGAAAATATATACTATGATATACGTATCAGACATGAATGACCCGGCGCGTATACAAATTGCAACTATCTTTTATAAACTTTTAATAATCCCCGATAAATATTTCTATACACAGTGTTGCCTGCTATCGATAAGAGTGTTTCTTTAAAATTAGTTCATTAATTCTAGCCAAGAGACTTGTGTTAAATTTAATCGAATCTTTTTATATATTTATACCCTCATTGTAGGAATAGTAACTGTTTCTGTTATGTAGAATTGTGAATATGTATCATAACTTGAATAAAAATAATTCCGCTTTACGATGAAATTCCTCACTTCTGTTTCATTATAGGACATTACGAAAATTTCTTTTGTGCGTACACGTAAATCTCATTCTCTTTCCCCTTTCTCTCTCTCTCTCTCTCTCTCTCTCTCTCTCTTTCAGTTCCTTTCACCCAATTCGCCAGACAGAGTGCATCGCGTTCCACAAGACAATGCGATTCTGCGTGACGATAATTCCAAGGGAAGAAAAAATAATGGAGATAAAGAGGAATAAGTGTGTGATAAAGGCACGAGGTACCTACCTTTCTCGGAACACTCGCGACGAAATGAACGAACGACCTCTTCACCGGTGGCTTCTACGGCACTGCGCCCGTGGTGTGACGCGCGTGGCACTGAGCGTGATTGGTCGAGAAGGCGCGACACAGCTGCGAACCGCGACGTTCCGGCTGGCGCAGACTCGTTCCCCGTCGATGCGATCCCGTGAAAATCCATACCGCGCGACTGACCACCACACCGCCACCGTGCTGCACTAATTATACAGGACACGAGGGACCGAGGGTCTCGCGTCGCATAGTGTATGCATAAATTATTTGCATGCTCGCGTAGATTATAAAAAAGCTTGGAGGGACTACGTTAGCCGCTACAACTTCGATCAGTTTTTCAAACTTGTAAACTCAGTCTTGAAATTTTGCATGAAGAAAGACAAGATTGTTAGATGAAAAAATGAATTTGTCGATGCACTTGCGCGTGTCTAGTCATAATACGTGGATTAATTACAATTAAATATGAATTATATATTCTCATTGAATATATAATTATTTATTAATTCATTGCACATATTGTGCAATATATACTTTGAATGAGAGAATGAAATAGAAAAATCGATTCCACATACAAACAATTCTTAAAAAAAAACAATTTTTATAATGTCGCTTTCTTATTTAAAAGTAACAATTTAAAAAATTAAATTTTCCAAGAAAAGGGAAAACTTTTTTGACTACAAAAAATTATTGACTAATCAAATAAATATTGGCAAAAAGAATATTCATAATCAAATATCACTTTTCTCGTTTTCGTTTCATCCTTAAAAAACTATTGTTTTTAGTTGTGACGATTTTGAAAATTTTTTATGAAAAGATAGTTCACTTTTAAAATAATGTTTACTGAACTCATTCATAATAACTCCGAAATTACGTTTTTTTAATCGCGTTTTTATTTTTAAAGTGAAAAAAATAATATGTCAAGCGTGTTTTTATAACAATGAATTTTCTCGCAACTGCATAAATGCACATTTATATATAGACGTTAATTAATTTAAATCTCAAACGAGAGATTTTCTCCTTTCTGAGAGTAGGTAAACGTCCACGAAATAATGTACATTTTCATTCGCATTTTGTTTCACCATTTTATTCTACATCTACATTATGTAAATATGATATTTAGCAAGCGAAATTCGCAATTAATTATTCTCGCTGTTCGCTACAACTCGTGGGCTCTAATTGAAACTATAATTAAAATTAAATTCATTGTCCCATATTCTAGGCACCTCTCGCGAATAAACTGGACAAACGGAAGTCCGTTTTTGTAATTCATTCCAAGATTCAGTCGCGTTTCTCCTTGGATCACATTTATCTTATTGACATTCGTTAATTTATCTTCACCTACCTAAATGTATGTCTTCCTCTCTCATTGTACATTTCAATAAAAATTACAATTATTTATATCCGTTTCTTTTAATCGTAGATATTCACATCGGCATTTAAAAATGCAAGATCTCATTTATCTTATTATCAGAGATCTTATCGTCACCATTCTTCTTCATCTGTAACAAGCTTCAACATCCTTCTGATGTGTCGCATACCTTAATTAAAATCGAAATCACTTTCTGTGTTCGAAACATTCTTTTCGATCGTCGTATCTGTGTCGGAATCCAGAAGGGACTTGATCACGTCTTTCTTCTTCTTCGATTGACTCGCTCCGTTAACATCCGCCTGTTGCAATTTATCCCCATCTTTGTCCGATTTATGTTCCAGTTCTGGATCCACCTGTATCTGTGAGGTCTCTTCTGCTTCTGGTTTCTCTACACGACTCTCAGCGTCGTCACCAGGATTCCGCTCTTCCTCCTTGTACTCCTGTTCGTACGCGTTATCATATGTCTGATTAGGATCATAGGGTACTTGCTCAGTGTAATCGTACGCCTGAGTGTCAGGATTGTTCTCATATCCTTGATTAGGGTCGTATTGCTGAGCAGGATCACCATATCCCTGATTGGGGTCATAGCCGTAATCGTACGCTTGATTCGGATCCTGTTCGTACTGCGCATCAGGATAGTGCTGGTACTGTTGGTTATTGAGATTTTCAGGGTACTGCTCGTACTGGTCAGCCACGTACTCGACGTACTCTTGATCATCTTGAGCATATCCTTGATCAGCGTATCTCGAATACTCCTCGTTACCAGCCTCGTATGACATGTTTGGGTCATAATATTGCTGATTTGGATCTTGTTGCTCGTACTGCTGCGTTTGGCTCGGATCTTCAGCGTATCCTTGCTCGGCACTGTACTCACCATCTTTCACAACATCTTCGAATTGATCGTCGACTCGAAGTTCCGTCGTCTCATCGTTGTCTGGGTTTCTTCTGCCACTTTCGTCTTGTTCACCAAGTTCCTCACCTGGCTGCGACGCGGTCTTAGGTTCATCAACTAAATGTTGATCCGAATCTTTAGAGGGTACATCTTGAGCGTCCTCGATAGGTCCACGTGTTTCAGTTTGCTCCTCGGTTTCATTTACCTCGCTTGTGTCCAATGTTTTCGTTTCCATTTCCGAGCGAGGAAGTGTATCCTGCGGAGGACGCGCGTTCTCCACTTCGTCATTCACGTTTTGCTCGATGAATTGTGACGATTCGTTAATGATGTCTTCTTTGATGTCCATCGTAGCTTCGGCATTTTTTCCCGCCGCTCGGTCTCCGTCAGCATCGTCCAAATGTAACTCGCGAACTTTTTTCTGCACACTTGCAAGATTCCACGGCGCCAATTCCTCGGCAGCATCGAACACACCATCGATATCCGATTCTTTACCGGTTACAAGATCAAGTCGTTTCTCATCCGGCGCACTCTTCGAATCGTCGATCCGTGATCCGTCACTCGCGGCTATTTCCTCGTCGACGCTGTCTTTTTTCGCAGTAGGTATTTCTCGATTGCGTTCTCGTGACTCGGCTGAATCGGCCGCGTTATTCCAGTCCTCTTTCGCAATCTGCGCGTCTCCGCGCGGTCGATCTAATTTCGCCGAGTGTGTCGCAACGTCCTCTTGAATTTCATTTCTTGTACGTCCTTCAGCCTCGCGTTCCTCTTTACATTCCGACGCATCGCTTTTTGCATTCTCGCGATGTCTAATTCCATCCTCGACTGCCATGAGTCTTCCATTACCGTTTTGTCCGACCGAATCTCGTGCAATATTCTTCAGAGTCGCCGTCCTGGATGCAAGATCGCTAGCTAATGCTAAAATTTTGCCCATTTCCTCGGGTACCCTCTCCTTCCTCGCCCGATCCTCGGCTGGAAGTTCCAGACCATCTTCGGTCAGGGAGACATTCAACAGATCACCGCTAGTGTTTTGCTCGTGATCCAGTTCGTCCACGCTCTGCACGCCGTGCTCCCGATGGATCCTCCGGATGTTACTGATATATCGATCCAGTTCTTTCTCTAGAATCGCCGTCCTGCCGTTATCATCCAGATTAAAGTTGTCTGTTCCCAAAGCAGTCGGCGACAAAGTTTTGGCAACATCCGCGTTGCCCCAGAGCAAATGTTCGTTGCGCCTCATCAAACTGTCCAGGTCGTCGCTGGTGATGGAACGAGTGGATCCTTCATCATCGGATTTCTGCGAACTCGCCAGGATGTAGTCCATGTATCCCGGTAACGGACCGACCTGATTAGCGATGTTCATGTCAGATCCTGTTCGGTATGTACTCGATTTCCCGGTCACTAAAGTCGGTTCCACGGCCGCGGTATCGGACGGATTGTATTCTCTTATCCGCGATCGCGGATCGGACATCAACATGTTGGTGTCGTGATAATGACGTGAGGTCAAGGGGTCGAATTGGTGTTGAATAGGCACGTTCTTTTCATATTGTGAGATATCTCCAGCGGGAAACCGCGCGGTCGCCGAGAGACCGGATGCGACTTGCGCCGATTCCATGTGCTCCCTGAAGAATCGATTAGTGGAATTATCCGAAGGCGCAATTGGCAATACCGGCGCTTCCACATACGAAACGCGAATGTCCGGAACATGCTGAAGATTACGAGGCACACTTCCGTCATAATTGGAAGGTATCATTCGTGGATATTGATGAGCGTTCGGCACGGAGGCATAAATATGTGGTCCATGTAGAACATTCGTCTGACGATGATCGACATCGCGGATTGCACCTAATGGCGCAGTTGTCAAAATTGGTGGAGGATTATTTAACGAAACGTCTACGACAGTCTGATCGTACAACTTGGAAGCGGAGGTAGACCTTGGCTGAATCGACTGTGGACCAGGCGCCCCCGGATGCAATCGCGGTGATGAAATGCTTCTTGTTTCCGCAGATGCTAAATCGGGATGTGCCAACGCGACGGTTTTCTTCGTGTATCTATCCTCATTCTGACTGGCGATGCCACTATCCTCGGTGACGCTACCGGGTGGCCGGTGATTGGCATAAGCGCGAAGTAAATAAGTCTCGTACTGTTTCTGGAAAGAAACCAACATTTTCGCTTTTTAGGTAGAACATAACTACGTAAAACAATCTCAAGAAACACAAAATTATATATAACGTACTTGTCATTTTATAATTTCTCTTTCAATAATTAATATAACCGTAAATATAACACAAATGTTATATTACAGTTATATTGTTTGAGTGGGAAATTACAATTAAGAGGTATGTTATTTTGTGTTTGCTGGGGTTGATTCATTTGTTTGCGTTTACATATTCATATCTCATTATGTGGCTACAAGGAATGAATAATATAGCGCGATATATGAGAATATATATCTATATAGAATTTAAATTTTTAATCAAATTGTTTTAATGAAACGCATTGTAGGTTTGACAATCGAGAAAATCAGTTTCCATATTTTCAATTTATCTTTGTATCTATGAAAAAAAGGAGCTTAATAATACAAATATAAATTAATAAATAAAAAAACTTAAATCTTTAGAATAAAAGTTAATCGAATCTTATATCAATAATAAATTAATCTTAAAAAAGAATTTAAAAACACGACTGGAATTTTATCGGCTATAATTCTTATTTTTCAACAGTTCATTGTTTTATTTTAATATAATGAATGTAATACTGTTATAACAAAAAAAAAAAAAAGTAACTTGAAGCAATTTCTGTACAAAAATATAACGAAGGATACAATGATTAAAATGATAACTCACTCTGAGAACATTGAGTCTGTCTTTTTTCGCGCTTATTAGCGCAAGCTTGTTCATAACTCTGTCCAATGCGGTTAAAAGCTTGTGATTTCTTTCATCCCTCGTGCGTTGTTCCTCCAGATACTGTATATATCTCATACGTAACCGATTTGTACAGACATCGTGTCTGTAATTAAAAAATCATTCATCGAATGGCAAATTTAAATTTCAAGAATACTCTGTCATTTTCTAGCATTTTTTCTCGTCTATTTTCATAACATTATTAATTCTACAGATACACGGGATTGTGTAAATTGCAATAAAAAAAATTAGCAAATTAGGATCATGTTTTATAGATTTTTTGTTACAATAAGCCATTATCTAAGCTTTAAGTCTTAAGTCGTAAGAAATTGATTAATTATAGTCGATTCGACTTCTCACATTTGACCGTGATTGATTAATTTCTTACGACTTAAGACTTAAAGCTTAGATAACGGCTTATTGTGGGAGGCCCATTACGTTAAATATCTCGCACGTATTAATCTCTTTTTTTTTTAAATGACGTAGAAATAGTTCACTCAAATGGTTAAGCGATCGATTAAGGAGTTAATGTGACTCCCTCACGAGCAGGTCACCTCGGTGGCATAAGGTCGCTGAAGTCTTCGCGACAATATACAGCTAACGCAACTCCTTTGAAAATGGAGGCGCGCATTATCGTGAAGCATGATATACATGAACATTTTTATCCTACGTTCACGATCGATGAAACGCTCGGATGTCTCGGCCAGACACGAATCAGGACGCGTAAACAACGAGAGAGCAGAATTCACGTCGTCCCGAGCGTGGAGATATGTCGACGGGAATGGGATTGAGCTCGCGGCTGTTATTGATCGTGACATTCCGTAGAACCGGACTACCACTGAATCGATATCGAGTATTTCAGGTAATTTCTCTACATTATTACTGAGCTAAGCGATGTGCTACAACGATTCATTCAAAACTTCACATTTTCAAATTGAAAAATTTGTCCAAAAAATATCCTGCCAGAAATAATGATTCGAATCAACATTAATCGATGATCTTGTTGATTTGACCAATCACTTCTAGCTGTAGCTTCCAAATGAAGTAAATTTATTGATTGTAAATTTTTTTACTGCTAAAATATTTAAAAGTAACTCTGCAATATGTTATACTCTTTAAAAATAAGAATTGAATTTAAAATTTTTTAATTATCTCTTAATTTTTCTTATCATCTTTCCCTAATCGCTGATAATACGTTAATGGTAATATATTGCATTACATTATAGAATAGTACATATATACATATAAATAATACCTAATAAATAGACCACAAGATTTGCAATTACTTCTTATTAATTTTCTAGATATATAACAAACTTCACTATATGATTCTCTCTCTCATTACATAACTTCATTATAATCATGATGTAATTAGATATCTAATTCCACCATGTATAATCATAATATATGCAAAAAATATCATATTCACATCACAATAGATTCACAATAGTCACGGATAATAATGTTATTGTAAGATTATCAAAAAGTCGCAATGATATAACATTTTATTTTCTTAATCTATGTCATAACAGTGAAGTCCGATTTTTATTAGTTTCATAATATCACAGTGATATTACACCTGTGACAAAGCGGACATTCACCATGACTTTATTGTAATATTATTGAGACTCTTTTTGCTATGAGGATAGTGTCATATTGACCTGCACTGTCTATCCTAAATTCAAGTCAATCAACGCGGCATTGCAGGAATTCTAGTTCTCAGATTCCAAATGGATTTGAAACTCACCTGTTACGGGACTCTCGCATAAGCATGGTGAATCGCTCCTCCAGTCGTATTCTCTCCTCCTCACTAAAAATTTCACGATGTTATCAACAATCGTATTCCCGCGTTCGCAAGATTTATCTTGGAAGATGTGATGTACTTGCCTCTTCCGCAGCTTCTCCTGAAGCTCAAACATTCTCTTGTAATAATCGTGACCATCGTAAAGCGGTGCCATGCTGCGCGCCATTCAGAAAGCAAAAAGTTGAAGGACGATCGTCGCACATCGAGGCGATCGACACACAATCGATTCAAATAATGCTCCACGCGATGGAAGTTCAAGTTTACGTACTGTACAATTCGAAAAACGAAAGTATCTTGCGGCGTCGATAATCGTGATTCGAGGAATTTTTTAGCATCTCTGAAACAGATGTGAAGACAATAATGCAAATTCTCGAAACGAACGCATTTTTACTCTCATCGACTTTCCACAGTTTTCTAGTTTAACTTTCCGAATTTTAAATTATGTTAATTTCTCCAGAAGAAATACGAACTTTGTAAAATAAAAAAAGAGTGGAAGGAATATCAGACTAAAGTTTTGATGCAAATGAAGAAACAGAAGTTTTTAAAAAGAGAGATTTCACATAAACAAATATTAAAAATGAATAAAACTCATATAAAGTGACGGTAATATTACTTCAATATATAATTATACTGATAATTTTTCTTACTTAACAATGTAACTTATTACGTATAACATGTATTATATTACATTTCTATTGTTAAATGAGAAATTATAATATTGATGTAATATTGCTACCACTTTGTGTTTAGCGGGAAATAATTGGAGAACATAGAATATTTAAATCATAAAAGCGAACGTTACTTAAAAAGAATTAAACATTTTTAAAGAAAAAGTATAAGATAGGAATTAGTAAAAAAGAAATAGAATTAAAGATTCAACATGATGATTAAATGCGAGGCATACTTTTAAATTCAAAAATGATCAAATTTGATTCAAACGAAGATTAAGTTGTCAGGGCGAGAATTCGAGTGTCGTTTCACGACACTCGAATCGCCCAGAATTGTTCACAACGGCGGTACAGATGCAACAACAATGGAATGAACACTTGGTGTGTGCGAGGTATTCGGTATTTGAATCCGATATCCTCAAGGCTTTCAGGGCGAGGGAACGATCCTTCGTCATGCCGACGCGGCGAGCAACTGTCGCGGTCGAATCGTCGAGTCTACCGTGGCAGGTCGGGGCTGTTTCAGCGGGTAAACACGCAGGTGTTACGTTCCCTACTCCCTTTATGTCGAGCGAATTCGTGCGACTAAACAGCTATTTAACTTGAATTTCACAATGTTACGAAATGCGTGGGTCCGCGTTCTTGCCACGTGTGTAACTGGTACCCGCATGATTTATCATTTCAGAACTGTATCAGTCGCGATTTTTTGTATTGTTAAAATCAAACTCGAATCTTCATATATATAATTAAAGAAATTAATTGATTATAAATTTGATAATTTTTTTTACGAGAAAAAAAATAAGATTTAATTTTAACGTTTATTTTAATTTGATAACATTTTTGCAGAAAGAAAGAGAGAGAGAGAGAGAGAACATATTTTTTCAGGTTATTCCGAGTTTAATTCTTCCACTGTTCACGCTGTTCTCCAACATGATCCTAAAGGTAGAAATTTATCGATGATTATATTATCGCAACATTATCATGTGTATAATAAATAATATAAAAACTTTCTAAATACTATAAAAAGAATACTAGAACATTAGGTACTAAAATTTTCATTTTTCGATTCGTTATCTCAAATTCTATTTTACGAAGAATAATGACGCAATTGAAACAGTAGGGACCAAGTTAAAATTTGTGGTACCTCGACGTAACTCCAACGTCAATCGCAACGCTGAAGTATTACAATCGATAAAAGTAACATTGCAGTAGTTAGCGACGAAATATAACTAAATTCCATCGATCGGGCGTGAAAGGATATGCTTAAGGATGCAATCTGTGGCGCAGTACTCTATGCGGTCACGTCGCGTGCCAGTTGCAAATTTTCTCCTAGATATCGTGTGCCCCGACTTCCTACCTTCCAGTTAGTTGATTCACCTTGATAAAAGCGAAATAAGAGAGGGTGTATAATTATGTACAAACCAACACTATGCTGCATTAATAAATTATGAGTACATTTGCTGTTTATTAACTACATCAAGAAATACATTTATGTTTTCCAACAATATTGTTTTAACAATAATGTTATAAATGTAAAACGAGTAAAGAATGACAATTCATAGAAACTTAAAGATTTTTTCGTGCTTTCGTGTCTTCTAGCACACACATATCTTTCACGAATCTTTATACCACCTTTCTGTATTTTGCACGCAAATGTTCCGTCAACTCAGGTGTTTTCGATGTCGCCATGTAGAAAACAAGCTCCAAGTTGTCGCCGTTGCGTTTGTACACTCGACGTGTCTGTCGTGGAAACAAAAGAATGTTAATTAAAATCAACAATTTTCCATTTAATTATTAATGTTCGATATTTACGAGAACAAATATATTGCGCAAAATGTGAGTAAGTGTAACATACAAAAAAAAATACAGTCTTGCATCTGGAGAGACAACATTCGATTAATAAATCTATATTTAAAAATAAATAAAAAATATAGAATAAAAATAAAAAATTTATTGTAATCATATAAGACATCAGATGACATCATATTCTTAAATCATAATCATAACAAGAGCTCTTCTGAAAACTTATCCCCACTGAAGCCGATCGTGTTGTAATCGACATATTGGTTTCTTCATCTTTGATTTAAAAAAAAAAGCAGAAGAACTATGCCAATCCGATGTGGTCAATTTCAGTGGAGAGTTGAAGACAAGTCTTTATAAAGCTTTTTGTGTTTAGACACATTAACTTTAGAGAGATTAGACAATTTTCTTTTTTCTCTTTATTAAATTTTTACTTATACTTGTTTATACAGAATCTTTATCCATTCGCGATCATATCTAGTTACAAGACATCCAGTGGCTGCAGTCGATTAGGACGCTTTCAGCGCTTTTCAATATGTCTATTCTTATTTTATGACTAATGAACGATAAAGACAAAATGATGATTACAAGCGCTTAAAGCGCATGGGCGTCCAAATCGATCGCAGCCCCAATATATATCCGAAAACTTAATCGTACCTGTGTTAAAGTCGGGAAAGACGGTACCGATGCATCTGTCGTCAGTATATTGTTGCTGTTTAAGTCGATGGTATTGTTATCATCGCCCATCAGATCACCCTGTTCGACCGTAAACAATCCTATGTTATCAATTAGACTAAGTACGACCTTGTTAGTTCCTGGTAAGATCTGCAGGAAGCCGGTCTCTCGATGCATCGGTGTCCCTGAATCCGGATGCCAGCTCTGCGCGATGTAATTGAACAGCGGCTGACCTATGGACGTAATGTTTATCTCATCGTAGTAATTGAAGGGCTTGATGGTCGGGTATGTGCCCACTGCGGGCTCATCCGTTATCCACGTGCCCTCCAACCAGGCCAGCACGTTCAACAGCTCATGCAGCTGCAAGATCTTCATCTGCATCTTTGCGGCAGTGTAGTTAACAATCTAGTAATCTAATAAGACTTCTGATTGACTTTTCGTATCTACACGTCTTCAACAGTAAGATGTAAACTTCATACTGAGATAGCAACGTGAGATTTTCAATATTTTATAGCGGCGGGCACAGACTCTTACATAACGCATAACACGTAATGCATACGAAAATGTACCAATCAAAATCCTTTATTTCATAGAAAGGAAGGAAACGAAGGACTTTGATTGGTACATTTTAGTATTGCCTATTACCATTCTTCTTTAACTCTGATTGGTTGAATTTCTTATGTCTTATGTGTTATGCGTAATGCAAGGTCTGTGCTTCCCACTTATACCTTCGTATCGTCTCGCAATCTCATTGATTACATGAAACTACATGGAAGCATAACGTTCTGTAACATCACGAACATTTACTTGATACTTATCTTATAAATGGAAATCGCGATCGTCATTCGGAAAAATATACGCTCCATGTATTATTACAGATCTATAGTTTTTATCTTTGCTCTTTCTCTCTCTTACTTTTTAATTATATATACATATCCGAAGTGCAGAAAACATAATATCATGCAGTCACGAAGAACAGATCTTGAGCTGTTACATAATAAAAAGTGAACACCTTTTTATGGTAATTTCGTAAAACCTGCGATGGAAAACCACTAATAATAGATTTGTCATGCACGTGTGCACGGATGTTCATATAATCGCAGTAGATGATTAGATAATAAATAGTTGATTCAGCATGCGCGTTTTTATCGCTCTAAAATTTTATTTACGCTTAAAAAAACTACAGTAATAATTAATTGTCAAAAACGTATAATAAAATTAAAACTTTATTTGCTCTTCTGGTAGGGTGACCAGATCTAACTTAAGTAAACTAGGACTATTCCAAATTAGAAAATAGTACAAAAGTAGGACATCAAGAATCAAAAGTAGAACAAAAAAGGTTACATAGTAATATAAAGTAGGTAGTACATTTGAACTCAAAAATAGAAGAAAAGTGTGTACATTAAAAAATCCTAAGAACGATAAAAACACGTATTTAGTATTAGCCAAAAAACGTTTTACATAATAATACTTAAAAATTTTCAAATATTTTATCACAGATGCATAATAATTAGAGATGCACCGGATATCCGATATCCGGTAATTTTACAATCCGGTGCATTCCTAATAATAATAAATTAGTGTTTAGTTTATTATTATGAATTTCATGTCAATAGGCTTAACAGCTTCCGGTCATCTTGCTCTTTCTCATAAAATAAGTGCCAAAAATAGTATACTCTGGACATACTAAAAATCCACCCGGTCTTTAAAAAAGTCATATCCGGGAAAAACTAAATGTCTGGTCACCCTATCTTACATTCTTTTATTTCTCTTCGCTCACTTTTATATACTTTGCTCGTAAGTGTTCAGTCAACACTGGAGTATTCGACGTTGCCATGTAAAATACATATTCCAAACAATTATCGTGAAGTTTAAATTCCCTGCGTACCTGCCATAAAATTAAAAACATATTTTAACTGTAAAATTATGCTATCACTTATATAAATATCAACTGCAATGCTAAGTTAATAAAATTTATGATGAATTTGGTCATTCACACTACAATGGATCAGTGCACATTAAAGGCTGCTTTATACAAAGTATCTAAATGTAGTAGTGATATAACATATTCAATTTTGACAACAATATGTATTTGTTCAATAACGTGACAATATTTTAAATATTAAATTAAATAATATTTATATCCTTTTACATTTAACTTTGCTAAATTTATATACAGTAGCTTTTAGCATGCACTAATCTAATATAATGCAAGTGACCAAATTTACTGTTAAATATACCTGTGTTACATGGGGCATCTTTGCCTCTTTTGTCCTAGTTATATCAGTACTATTTAGGTTGATGGTTTTGTCAGTTATCTCGCCACATTCAATGGTAGTTAAACCAAAATTATGTGCTGAGATAAGAGTTACTTGATTAGTTCCAGGGTTCACTTTCAGAAAACCTGTTTCCCGATGCATTGGCTTCTTTAAATCCGAGTTGGAAAAACTTTGCGCAGTATAATTGAACATAGGTTGCCCTAAGGACATGAAGCTTAGCTCATCATAATAGCTAAAATCCTTAATTGTCGGATATTTGCCGCTGCCTTGATTCTCTGTTCGCCACGTTCCTTCTAGCCAAGCCAATGATTCTAATGCTTTATGCAATGGTACACGTTTCATGTTTCCACTATATTATTTTATATATTCTAGATATATTGGACAAGTGTATAAATTATAAATAAAAACTAATCCTTAAGTGTATCTTTTGCGATTCTGACTTTTAACTTGAGAATTTCAGAATCTCCACAAAATATAACCTGTAAATCATACAATCACAATTAATATGAAAGACAAGATATTTATCATAAAATTTTTTATAAAAAGTTTCTATTGTAGTCACGACTCTTAGTATTAAGTAAATACAAAAATTGTTGTTTACAGAAAATGGTTAGTTAGAAATTTACATTCAAAATTTTAACATCCACACTTGACTGTTCTATTGCAATTTATACCTCCTATTATACCTGGTAAAATAGAAGCTGTTACATATGACAGAACGATAAACCCTAGGTCCATGAACAATGTTGTGGATTTTCTACAAGTGTGTATTCTTCATGCTTCTCGGCGCAAGAGTTATATAATGGGTAAATTCCGTTTCACGCATGATGTGCATAATGCACATTTATCCTTGTTTAAGAACGTCTCCGACTGCAGTTGTGCTCAACCTAATGAGCACATTAATGTTCACACCATTACGAAAATAATTTATTTTACTTTTATATAGCAGGGTTGGGTAAGTTACTTTTTTCTTTTAACTAAGTTAAGTTAAAGTTAACAACCTTGAAAATTTAACTTAGTTAAGATACAAGTTAATGTATAATGAAATTAATTGAATTAAAAGTTAAGTTAATAAAAAAAAGTAATTG